ATGATAAAAGGAAGAAAACCACCACAGTTAAAGAACAAGAAATATGTTAAAAAACAGAAAAGTTAGAATTATGTAAGTAATCAAATATATGAAATATTCTAAAGGTATTGGATATTTTATTTTATGGGATGCTCCTTTGTGCTTCTTTATTCCTATAACTGTCAGAGTGTTCTTCTAGTATAGTATTCTCTTATTGTAACATTTTGCACTGTAACTGTTACTTTTCTTATCCATCTACCAATAGACTGTGTACTTTGTGGCTTTAGTTTATGTCTGGCATATTGTAGGAACTTGGGTAATGTTAAAGGAATGTACAGTAATAAATTAATGTGACTCCCATTGGTGAAAAGTAGTTATTGTAGCTTACATCAGACCCTGGCATTTTTATCAGATATTTCACTTTGAAAAATATTGACTGAGGGCGCCTGGGTGGCTCAGTCGTTAAGCGTCTGCCTTCAGCTCAGGTCATGATCCCAGGGTCCTGGGATCAAGCCCCACATCGGGCAACCTGCTCCGCAGGAAGCCTCCTTCTCCCTCTCCCACTCCCCCTGCTTGTGTTCCCTCTCTCACGGTGTCTCTCTCTGTCAAATAAATAAAATCTTAAAAAAAATATATATTGACCGAGTTTGGGACACTACCAGGAACAATTAAATACGTAGTCCATATGCTTGTAAAATATAAGCATGGGCAAATAATGACTATTATATGGAGGCCTAGTATTGCACAGATATGTAGCATAAAATTGGAACAGTATACTTACAGTTCTCTGGTTATCTGCATTATCTAAAAATGTTGACATTTATGTGTATAGCTTACATATATAAACTGGTGCTTTGCTATATTAGATTTAAGTCAAATCTCTTTTTTCTCTTTTATAATTATTCCAAGATGCTGTTGGTAGAAACTATTTTTAAATATACACATATAAACATATTTATATGTATTTTACAGTATATGTATAAATGTATATTTATATGTATATTACATGAATCACATTTCTGCATATAATTTCTGGAAGTTTAAGATATCTTAATTTTTTGTCTGTAATTTTCTACAAGCCAAGACCATGAAAGGAAGGTTTTCAAGTTGTCAGTGGTATTTTCTGGGAAAATATCTGATTTATTGAACTTGTAGGAAAGCATGTACTTACTTTATTTATACTTACAGGAAAGATTATCCATTAAGTTAAATTAAAAAAGTATTTGAGGCCATGAAGTAATGAAAATGAAGAAATAACAGCTCTCACATGTGATCACATTTAATCTTTCAAAGATAAAACTGGTATCTTGCCCAAGCTTTCTATATGTAAAAAAAAGAAGAGGCACAGACTCAGCAGTGTAGTGCTCTGCTCCAGACAAAAGCTTATGCTCCGCAAATGCTTCATGGGCTGACACTTGTATTTTATTTTTAATTTTTATTTTTTATTAATCTGTACACCCAACGCGGGGCTTGAACTCACAACACTGAGATCAAGAGCGTCATGCTCTACCAAGTGAGCCAGCCAAGCTCCCCTGATACGTGTATCTTAGATAACACCATAAGTTGAGTTTCCTGTACAATGAAAGTGAAAACAGAACGGAAACCTGCTCATCCCCCTTCTGCAGATATTATTTCAGTTTACCTTTAATCATATTCATCAACTTGCTTCTCTGCTGGTGTTCTGTTTCTAGTGCATTTTAACTTTATGGTCTAGTAGAACGTAATAGTGTCAGTCCAAACAGTGAAAAATGTGAACGGACTTGTATTTTAAATCAGCAGCAGTAGAGGGAGAGAGTATTCCCATTCATTCCTAAATTACTCATTATCAGTACAGTCTAGTTTTTTGTATCATCTGTGTTCATATCGATTTTCCTCTCTTGGCTAGTCAGATGCAACCCACGACACAGTAACAATACTGGATAATTTCTTTCATTTTAGAACCAAGAATTTCTGTCACATGCAGACTGTGGGATCCTGAGTCAACCTTAAATGCTGCTTGTGGGGACATCATTGTTTCCCCCTCAGGACAGGGCACCAGATTACTGGGGTGTGATGGGGAGGTGCAGGCAGAGGGCTTAGGGCGAGGACCTGGATTGGGGGGGTGGGGCTCCTCTTTTGGTTAGAGATACTACACTGTAGGTTTCTATAAATAAGACCCTTTGCTGGGGACACGGCAGTGATCAAGTCAGACAGGTTCTTCTTAATCTCTGTATTGCTGATTCAGTGGCCACCCTCAATCTTCATCTTTCTTAGCCTGTTGGTAACATTGACAGGTGAGCACTCTCTCCTCCCACTTCCTTGAAACACCTTCTTAACTTGGTTTCCAGCGTGCTACAAACACTTGTTTTTCTTCCTCCCATACTGATTGCTCCTTCTCAATCTTCTTTGCTTGTTTTGCTTCTTCTGCTTCACCTTGTAATGTTACTGTGCTTCAGAACTCAAGCTTTAGATCTTTTCCTTATGTTCATTCATTTCCATAATTGATCTCAAGATTTTAAATACCATCCATATGCTGGTGACTCCCAACTTTATATCTCCAGACCAGATCTCGCCCATGACATTCAGATTTGTGTATGTCCAACTTTCCATCCAACACCTCCACCTGGATGTTTAATAGGCATTTTTTTTTAAAGATTTTATTTATTTATTTGACAGAGATAGAGATAGTGAGAGCAGGAACACAAGCAGGGGGAGTGGGAGAGGGAGAGCGGGCTTCCCGCCGAGGAGGGAGCCGGATGTGGGACTCGATCCCAGGACCCTGGGATCATGACCTGAGCCGAAGGCAGACGCTTAACGACTGAGCCACTCAGGCGCCCTAATAGGCATTGCACAGTTAATGTTCCAAATCTGAATTCATGAGCACCCTTTCTACGCTAAACTTGTCCATTATCTTGTATTCTCCCTTGCAGAGTTAATGACAGCCCTTATCCTCTTAGTGGCTCAAAGCAAAAACCCTGAGCCATCATATTCTTCTCTCTTCTTTCATATCCCCATATCCAAGGGGGAGTGTAGCCCTCTCTCACTACCTCTACTCACAACACCTTTGCACAAGCCACTCTAATCTCTGGCCTGATGTAGCAATAGCCTTTAATGCTTTCTACCCTTGCCCTTTGTTATAGTCTAGTCTGAGCACAGTGTGATCCTGTTAAAAGGGAAGTCGCATTGTGACAGTCTTCTGCTCTGAAGCCTCTAATGTTTTCCATCTCAGAGTAAAGCCAAAGTCCTTACCAGTGGCTGACAGAGCCCTACGTCGTCATCTGCTCTCCCTCCCCTTACTTCTCTGATCCATTCTTCCCCCTCTTTTACTGTATTCCAGGACTGTTCTTGTGAACATGCCAAGCCTGATCTCTTCACAGAGTTTTCCCATATTCTGTGCTCTCTGCCTAGAACGCTTTCCCCACATGCTTGTTCCTTGCTCTCTTCTAATACCTTGTTCAAATGTCACCTTTGCGTGAGGCCTTCCCTGACCACCCTATTTAGTATTGTAGCACCCATCCCACACATTCACTGTTCTCATTTCTGCTCTTTCTCCATAGTACTTACCACCTTTTTATATTGCATTAATTTACTTACACATTTTTATTGTGCTTCTTTTCATACTTGGTCCATGAGGGTAGGATTGTTTTATTTCTTTACTGATGTTTCTATAGCACCTAGAATGGTGCCTGGCACATAGTAAATGCTCAGTACAAATTTGTTAAATGAAAGGAGACGAGTTGTTTAATATTATGTGAGGTATGTCTGCGTCCCAAGTCAAAATACATGTTGGTTTAAATCAGTTGTTTCACTTACTCATTTTATACCTTGAGAGTAGTATTTGAGGCACATCTGCACCTATTTGATAGTTATATAATTTGGTTAACTATTTGACCAAATATGTATTCATTGGCTAGAACCTGAGTCAAAGGGAGGCAAACATCATATGGAAACCATGTTTGGAAAGCTAAACTTATATTGATAGGTGAAATCATTAAAAGATTGATTAGGAAGATCTAAATTGAACTGTGGAGAAAAAAAAAACCCTTTTGACCTATAGTCCCTAGACTTGTTGAATACTTTTATTCCATATAATAGCAACTTAATTGTCTACTTTGGCATTTATTGTAGTCAACTTCCAACAAATTTAGTACCAGATGAAATATTCCTTGTCATAAAATCAATCGCTCAAATCCTTCTAAGTACTAGAACAGTGATTTTTAAAAACTTTATAATTATTATTAGGAAAAGAGTACTTTAAAAAAGAAAAGAAATCACACAGCCAACTGAAAAACAGGTAAAAGTGGAATCTACCTACGTCCAAAGTTCAGGAGAATAGTTCTCATGATCACTGGCCGGAATGGATGAATGTGCTCTCTGCAGTGGATCTGGTTTCTGTGGGATCTGAAACCGACACTGTGTGTTGGTGGGTTGGGGAGAGGGGTTGAAAAAAGAATATGAAATTAAAACTATCCATTTAGGTACAAGACTTTGGAAGGGCCCTGAAGCTTCGTTTGATCTTAATGACGATGTTGGTGATGGAGATGAGCATTAACACATTGAGCCTTGAGATGCCCAGCATTGTTCCAAGCAGGTCTCATGCATTATTCCCCCAAACAACCAGAGGTACAGAGAAGTCATGCCCAGGGTGACACAGCTGAGAAGGGGGAGAGTGAGGAAGGGTAGAAATGAAGAAATTAGACTGAGAACAGAGACCTCTATCAGCCTCAGCCCTGCCACCCATTAATAGGGGAAACATGGAAAACAGCACTTCATCTGGGTATGTGTCCTCGACTCCACTTGTGAAACAAATATTGATGCCAGCTCTGAACTCCTCATTCTGTTGTGCTGAGGTCAGGGAAGGTGTGGGAAGTGCTTCGTGAAGAGTAGAGTGCTTGGAAATGTAGTGTGTTATTAAATTGCTTTTCATTCCAGCACAATATTATAGGTGAGGCTTGCAAATATGAATTTTGCTGACTTTTTCTTTCACTATTCTAATGTTTCTAATTTATCTCTTAGACGTGATTTTTTTTTTTCCTTTTTAGGTTACTTGTCTGCAAGACTTTTTTGGTGATGATGATGTTTTTATTGCTTGTGGACCTGAAAAATTCCGTTATGCCCAAGATGACTTCGTCCTGGATCACAGTGGTAAGGCCATTCTTTGACCGTCCTGGTAACCCTGAAACAGAGTCTCAGGGTTTAATCAGTTGGCCCATGCTGAGTGATCTGGCATGTTGAAGAAAGATGAAGTTGGTGGTACTCTTTTTGAACTAATGAAAGTAGAGAATAAAATGAAATCATTTGCTTAGTTGTTAAAAACAAAAAGCTTAGTTCAAGTAGTTTTCATTTTGTAGTCTAAAACGAGTTGTCTTTTTACTGCATCGTTTTGCCTCTGATACGGATTTCCTTCCCTGTTTCGGAACAGTGGCTGGCTGTGCCACCTTAAATATATGGATTGTATTGAATCTGAAATGGTTAGTTGTACATTTTCTATGTGCATAATGAGATACGTAAAAGGATCATAACTAAATTGTTAATCGGGGTTGTCTTAGCTTTCTTTTTGCCTCATCGTTTGCAACTTTAAAAAAAATGCATTGTTCGTATATGCAGAAAAAAATAAAGCTATTTTCATTAATAGAATAAGAAAATCCCTTTCTCCAGTGTATGGAGTTTTCAACTTCAGTGTATGGCGTTTTCAACTTTTTAGCAATAACCCCAGTGATTTCAAGTGTTACTGATTCTGGGAAAATTGCTTTACTCTTTCGTCTTGAATTAATTTAAACCTATTATAGTAATAATGATTATTTTAGCTGATAGTAAAGTCAACTTCCTCTTTAAATGAGGTAAAATCATACAGACATAACATTTCACATAGGAGAGTGATGTAAAAGATAAAAGTCTCACTCTTTAATTTCATGAGTGAGGGAAGTTGGCCTTTCAAAAATTAGGCTGATGGTAGACCCTTTCCAGTTGTAGTGATTCTGACCATCCAGAATTAGAGAAACATGTCAATAAGTGCTGTGATCCATAAACTTCTTAAAATTCAAGATGATACATTTTGTGGTACCAAACTTCCCTGTGCAATTTTTTCCTGTTACACTATGTCAGTTACCTTGGGGATAATTTATCTGCTTTGTGCTTGGGGCTCATTTATCTATACTTTTTGTTTTTGTTTCATTATCTCACTGCTGCCAAATTTCATTGAGGGTTTCTGTTCTATTTTGTGTTCCGATGGACTGGCCCTGCTTTAAACTGGTAATACCACTGGAAAGAAGTGCAGAGAATGTCCTTTTGTATTACGTGTGCTAATGCTCTCCCCTGTTCGCATGGATGATTAAGGTTGACTGAAACGTGTATTTGCATTATCATCTGTATAGCTTAATCTTGATTTTAGCTTAATCTCATTTCATATTATTTCTTTGGTGTCAATCAATATTAGTAAATTTGGAAGTTGAGGCACTGAAACACAATGATATCTTCTAGGTTATAAAGTTAATTGGGTTAATAACAAAATATTTATTGAGTACATACTATGTATATACCAGGCATTGTATTCCATGCTTTATGTGTATGTTGTAAATTTACCTAAGCTAGTTTTATCATTCATAGTTTTTGTTGTTAGCTATCAAAGGGCTCCCAATAGTGAAAGGTGGGTATAAGCTACTGATTTCTTCCCTCTCAGTTGCCAGTTACTTAACCTTCTGCAAACTGGGGATAACTGGCGTTTTTGTAAGATTTTATGTCAATATATATAAAGCAGTTACAAGGGTACCTGTTGTATGTGCTATGGCTCTTGTTATTGTAAACGTCATTATTACACCACCCACAGCAGGTCATAAAATCAAACCTAATTCTGCCACTGTTATATTTATTTGGAGGAAAAATTGTGTATTTTTTTAACTAGTTATTTAACTTGTGTTTATTCTTAAAGTCCTAACTTCATATCCTTTTAGGATTTTGACAACATCTTGCATTAAAGATTCATTAAAATGCTAAATGCAGTCTTAGTCCAGTAACAGAATCCTCCTTCAAGAACTGGCTTCAGGACTGGCTAAGCATCCTAAAACTAGGGTGTAGTTCTGAAGCTCTAGTTATTGGTTCTCTAGATTTACACTTGTGCTTATGGAAAGAGTGGCACTCTCTTTAAGATGTTTCTGACTAACACACACACCACTCCGTTCAACAACAGAATGCTGTTTAACATCCGCAATGCTAATTAACCTAACTGAAGGTGCTCGAGCCCCTTCTGAGTGAGGTTTAGATTAGGGTCTTTCAAATGCTAACTAGCCTCCCCTGGTGTGTATTTTCCTGATTAGTGGACTTCACATGTTAATTTATTGCCCCTGAGGTATAGATTAAAACCAACCCACATTGTAACCTTACCACATAAATTGAAGCATTTTAACGTAAATGACAGACAATATGCTATCTAATTTAATCCTTATAACAAACCTATGAAGCAGATTTTATTCCTATCCCAATTTCATAGGGGAAATAACAGGCTTAGAACCTAACCGAGGTCCTCCAGTTAGCAAAATCAAATTCATGATTCGTTCAAAATCTGCACGACTCCAAAACCCGTGTTCTTAATTATTCAAATTAGCAGTGATTATTTTAGCTGTAATTAGTTCTGGTCCTCTAAATGCTGTTTTACTTGGTGATTTGTGGGAAAACGAAAATTATTGTTGAAAGCTAGTTTCCTCATTTTTTGATGCTCCTTACTTAGGGAAGGTGGAAAATAAGACAGTAAGGAGTCCCATGCCCTTTAAATAAAATTCTCAGATAATTTGGAGAGAATAAAATTGTAGACTCTTGCTACTGACTAAAAAAGGAAGTTGCCCATGTTTAGATTAGGCTTTATAGTTGTGATCAAGTTAGGACATTGGAATTTCTGTATTCAGTAAGAGCTCCACTGAAAACAATGACGTGGTCTACAAGATGCCTAGCTAACTGAAGATAACCTCAGGTGTACTTTTGGGACAGTTGCTTTGTCTATTAAAGTTGTTTTACAATAATGGAAAAATGATCAGGTAATCGTTCTCTGGCAGTAAACTACATTCACGTGTGATCTTCCCTTGGTTAGTATTTAAACCAGATTTAGTTAATGCACTTTCCTTCCTTTCTAGAATGCCGTGTCTTGAAGTCATCTTATTCTCGCTCCTCAGCTGTTAAGTATTCTGGATCTAAAAGCCCTGGGCCCTCCCGACGCAGCAAATCACCAGCTTCAGGTAGTTAGTCATTCTCCTTCAGTTTCTTTAATTATTATGAACTGGTAGTCTTTCCCAAGTTTGCATGCAGCCAGGTTCCAAAATAACATGTAGATGACATGATTTTTAAAACCAAAAATTTAAGTCTGTTGCTCAAAGTTGTCATAAATCTGCTAAGACACTTGTTTGTTTTATTCTCACACATTTTCTCAAGAACAGTCTATATTTAGAATCTTCTGGTATTTACGTAGAAGTGTTTCACATTTGGACCACAGCATACTGTATTTTTAGCTTTGTGCTGTATGATTGTGAATATTTTTCTTTACTGGTTTAAAATATACATCTAACACAGAACGCATTTGCTTGGTAAGTTTCACTGCCTTTTCCTTCAAGCAATTTAATAGTAGCAATGATTATCATTGGAAATTGTTACTTATTTAAGAGTCAGACTTACCTGTAATTAAGTTTCTTTCAGGTTCTAAACCTGTAGATCTGTCATAATTTTGACTGTTTTTTTTTCAAAGCTAGAAACACCTATAAATATCTCGATGTATTAATTCTGTAAGGTTTGTTTATAGTAATTGTAACTAATTTTGCTGATATCATTTCCCTTTAAGGAAAGGATTGTGAAAAACCATGATTTTACAGGTGGGAAATCTAGAACATGTGAAAGTAGTATCAAATAAAACTGTGTCAAGCACCAGACCCTCTAAAAGACGGAGTTTTTTGGACATTATACTTGTCACTGCTTCCCCTTCAGCACCCACCCCGCTTTCCTTCAGTCGGGTTGTTTTGCCCTTTTTCTGTATACGCATTCAGACCTGCTGAATAACTACTCTCCTTACTGTCTCCTCCTCTTTGTATTCACTGAATGTGCACAGTAAAGAGGGGTGGCCACCACTCCAGTGCCTACTCTGCAGCCAGATCCCCAGGTGAGCCATGATGAGAATGGCTATGTCGCTCTGCTGGGTTTTTGTTTTTGTCTTTTGCCACATTTCTGTTTCCTTTCGCTCCATTTCCATGAACGTCTCTGGCTTGTACCAGTGTACATCCGTGCGCTGTGGAACGCTCCACCTTGTGTAGGATGCCTCAGCATCTTTTCTTTATTGGATTACCAGTCGTTGTCAGAAGATGGCCAAGTGCCTCTCTGTGTGTAGTTACAGGACAAAGGGATCGAGGAGCCATACCACCTCAAAGGGTCTTCCTTCTTGTTAATTTTGGAAAATATCCCGTTGTCGAAAAAGGCGAACGTTCATTGGTGATATGAAAATGGCCATAGGGGAGGGGCGCCTGGGTGGCTCAGTCATTAAGCGTCTGCGTTCGGCTCAGGTCATGATCCCAGGGTCCCGGGATCCAGTCCCACATCCGGCTCCCTGCTCAGCGGGGAGTCTGCTTCTCCCTCTGACCCTCCCCCCTCTCGTGCTCTCTCTCTCATTCTCTCTCTCAAATAAATAAAATCTTTGAAAAAAAAAGCATTATGCTTTCTGTAAAGTATCTCAAACACTAGGAAAGCTAATATAACACGAGATTGGCATAAATACAATTACCTGAGCTTACCGTATGGTAAATGTAGATTTTTGTCAAGTTCTTAGCTTTCATTTTAGCCAAGGTTTACAGATGTTTATCATATCAGTAAAATAAATAGAAGTAAGGAGAGCGATTCAAAAATCAGGCATTATAATGAATCCAATACATACTCAACTAAAAGCGTGTTTCATAGCCATATTTTTCTTGCAGACCAATATGTTTGTATAAATAAAGATTTATTCAAATCTTTTTAAATTGAATTTGGAATGCTTAGAAATTGATTCAAGAAATCCTAACATTTCAGGACCCCCAATATTTAACTAAGTCCATATTTGCACTTGGGATAGTAGAGTAGATCTTAAACTTGTAAGTAAAAGTTGTGAGATGTTTATTTTTTAAAAGATTTTATTTATTTATTTGAGAGAGAATGAGATAGAGAGCACGAGAGGGAAGAGGGTCAGAGGGAGAAGCAGACTCCCTGCTGAGCAGGGAGCCCGATGTGGGACTCGATCCCGGGACTCCAGGATCATGACCTGAGCCGAATGCAGTTGCTTAACCAACTGAGCCACCCAGGCGCCTGGTTGTGAGATGTTGAAATCATGTTTCAGAAGGCAAACAGGGTTTTTATGAGAGATTAAACCCCAAAGTATGTTCACCACATCGTGCAGTTACAGAAAAGTGAGAGATTTGTATTATTAAAAGCCAAGTACCCACAAGTACAACTCACTTTTACAGACCTCTAGCTGTGGTATATACCTGTTAACATTTAGAAAATTCTGTGGGACAAACTGGAATCTCAAACAGAACTTGTAACTTTGTAGGAATAACACTGTACTTTTTCGGTCTTGGGATAGAAGTGCATCCTAAGTTCAGTCTTCTGGTTGACTGAATTCCTCAACAGTGTGTAATAAACACATAGAAATTCATCTGGATAACATAAGTAGGTAAATATTACTGTAATTTGAGCCCTAAAAATGCTCACTTTAGGTTTCTAGCTTGTGAATCTTTCAGAGTCCACCAAGAGAAAATATTCAGAACAAACAAACCAAAAAGCCCAAGTTTATTTCTTCCCTTACAATTGAGGGGAGGTGTGGATAATAGCCTTCTTTTGGGAGAGAAAGTCAGGGGGTGGTGAAAGAGTGGTACATGATGGAGGTGTGGAATGGTTGTTGTCCACCTGCCAGTTTTTGGTAGCCCTGTGAGGGGAACACGCCCAATGTGACCCTGTCCTGGGTCCCACTTACCCTTCCTGAGACTCGGAAGAAATGTGCAAAGAAATGAAATTAAGGACTACTCATGAAGGAACATTTTTTAGAATTTTCCAAATGCTCTGGAAAACTTAGAAGCCCAAATGTGACTTGGTATGTCTTTAAGATGAGACTATTTGGAGGGAAATATGGACATGTAGTTACTGACACCAGTAAAATCCCTGGCCGTGAGTTTTGTCAAGAAACTATGTTTAGCAGGGGGGTGTGGTTTTAGGGAGTTTTGTCTGCTATCAAGATCACTATTTGCAGGAATTGATTTTTATCCTTTCGTTCCTTTTCTGTCATTGTTCCAAGGTAGCCTCTGCTATTAATGTGTCTGAGTATCTGTGAAAGCTAACAGCACTTATTGAGTAGAGGCTGGTGACGTGCACGGGTTGCTGTATGGAATGAAGAAAAAAAAAAGTAAAATTCAGTCTCAGCTCACAGCGAGTTGACTAGTTCATTGCCCATAATAATCCCTATTTTATGTGAATTCCTGCCACCAATTCCCTTTATTTAAAGAGAATTTTTTAAAAGAAACAACATTGAGGGGCACCTGGGTGGCTCAGTCGTTAAGCGTCTGCCTTTGGCTCAGGTCATGATCCCAGGGTCCTGGGATCGAGCGCTACATCGGGCTCCCTGCTTCACGGGAAGCCCTGCTTCTCCCTCTCCCGCTCCCCCTGCTTGTGTTCCCTCTCTTGCTGTGTCTCTCTCTGTCAAATAAATAAATAAAATCTTAAAAAAAAAAAAAAAGAAACAACATTGAAATTTAACTCAGTTGAGAAATGATCAGGACTGTTGAATATTCTAAAAAGTTTCTAATTGCACAGTTCCTTGTGTTGTCCTTGCACTCTAAATATGCACATACATTTGTTAAGAAATTATAGATAACAGATCACTGTTTATGCATGAGTGGTTTTAAATTAGAAAAATTAAAGTTTAGTAAGTTAAAAGTGACTAGAAAATTTTTTCATCCTTACCCAATTTAAAATGAGCAATGCAATAAGTAAGCATGACTTCATAGACCCAGATACCTCGGTTTATAGATGATTCATCTAACCACAAATACTTGTTGATCCAAGACTTTTGCCTCCACTCAAGGACTGGTGCTCACTTTTTTGAGTCACCTATTTTGGACTTTTGCCTCTACATTTTGCTTTTTTATATTTATTTGCTTCATTTAAAATAATAGTTGTCTGCTTCATATTTGAAAGGAAAAGGAAAAGGTGGACTTTTCTTTAGAGACGAATAACAGTTTTCATCTTTGGGCAAAAGCACTGAAGATTAGTGATAAAACGGGGTTGCAAATACTTCTTAGAAAAATAATTACACCAGTCCTAGATGTTAACAACCATCTTTGTGAAATGACAGCAGAAATTGATTCAGGTGATACAGTTAGGAATAAGCATGAGTCATGCTGAAATGTTTGACCAGCAATCTCTAGTATAAACTGCAAATTTCCCTTCCCTTCTAAACAGCAGTGGTCATACTTTTCCTAGTTATGCTGTAAATTGAGCCTTCGGCCTAGGAAGTGTGTGGAAGTTTGGAGGGGCTTCTATTGAAAAACCATCAGGATTTACTAAATAATGGGAGAAATTAACTGTGAAGACAAGAAAATGGAAGGAATTAAAAATGACTAGTTTAGATAAAAAGTTGAAGAGTATCTTTTATGGCCTTCAAACAAATAAGAAGATGTTGCAAGAAAAATGACCAGTAATTTTGCCTTTCCATTAAGAATATGCTTAGAAAATGTGTTTGGATTATGGTGGAATTGATTTGGGAGAGCCATAGAACTTCTTGGGTATTCAGGTTTGTATATACCGATATTGGAAATTACAGGACAGCCTTCATAGTAAAGTATTACAAACATACCAGCCATTTCATTTCTCTGCTCTTCCTGGCAGGCAGGATATATGGACAAGTTCTCATTCACATCTCTAATTCCATAATGTTTTATATATTTGTTTATGTCACTGTTGGAAAACTATTACTGATAATAATTCTAGTTTCACTCCTTATTTGTCTGATACTTTGTAATGCAATAAAACACATTATTTTTGCTTTTTGCTGATTTGCCATCTGCTTTGAGCTTTAAATGAATTGAAGCTTCATTGGAGCTATGTTGTGCATGTGCTTAGTGTTTTGGCACAGTCTGGTTATTTGGGCTTTTAATGACCTCTCTCTCCTCTGTTGTCTCATGGTCAGTTAACGGAACTCCCAGCAGCCAGCTGTCTACTCCTAAATCAACAAAATCCTCTAGCTCTTCTCCAACTAGCCCAGGAAGTTTCAGAGGATTAAAGGTATGAAATAGGATATATGGCGTATTTGTGTGATTTTGTTGTTTTGAATTACATAGTTTGGTAGTTTAATTTGTTCAGGGGCTCAGGTGCAATAACAAATCAAAAAGGAAAGAGTGTAAGGATTTGGAGCTGGGAAGACCTGCCTTTGAATCCTGTGTCCTTTTTATCTTGAAATTTGGGTCAACCACTTCTTCTGAGCTCAAGTGTTCCTATCTCTAAAATGGGAATGTTAGGTTGTGGTTAGGGTTGAACATACTGGGGTAAAGTATAATTAGTAGTAGTTTTCCCATTATTATCAAAATGATTTGCAATGGGAAAGCCTTGGAGAACACTATACTTCTTTTACAAATCTCATTTTGAATCATGATTTTAATATTGCTAACCTAATTCGATTTTTCCCAAAAGTTTAAAATAGGATGAAATACTAGTAAGGTACTTATGTGCATATGTAGTAACCCAAGAAGATATGTTCATTTTGGTGAGAACTTAGAAATAAAATCTTAGGTTTTGACTGTGATATCCTAAAAACATAAATGGTAACTTAACATGATCAGCAGTTGGTTTAATAGACATTTTTTTGGTTTAATAGACGTGTCTAATAGGGAGAAAAATGGATGAAACCAAATTTGCAAAATTTCAGCAACATTAATTTCATCTAGTAGCTTTCAATAACTTAAATTTACAAGAGAAAATTTGCCTGGTAAAATAGCAGTAAATGAGGCTAAAAATTGAAAGTTTTCGAGGCACCTGGGTGGCTGGGATCAAGCCCCATATCGGGCTCCCTGCTCCGTGGGAAGCCTGCTTCTCCCTCTCCCACTCCCCCTGCTTGTGTTCCCTCTTTCACTGTGTCTCTCTCTGTCAATAAATAAATAAAAATCTTAAAAAAAAAAAATGGAAAGTTTTCCTTTTGTAGAAACAATGAAGTTATCTTCATGGTAGTGTACTCTAAGAATACTGAAAGTATACATAGTGCTGTGTATGCATGCGTAAAATTAACTTATTCTCTTGGTATTTTGGTGACAGTGGAAATGTCTTCATTAGGAATACATTCCCCCAAAGTTGGTTGCCTAAACACTTCAGATATTGTCTGAGTGGTTTTCTTTAAGGGTGTTGAAAAATCTTTTTCACTAGTACAATGGATCGTAAGAACCCCACCACCCCTGAGTGAGTGGGGAATGAGAACCTGCAGAGCAGTGAGGATGGTGGGCCTTCCACTTCTCCAAGGGCTCATTCTCCACCTGACTCTAAGGTTTGGCTGTCCTGCCCTGAGAAAGTTGTGTGATCATTCAAGGTGAACTTGCATGATTCTCATGTAAGTGACAGAGATCAAAAAGATAAATTCCTAGATGAACCATGAGAGACGATGGACTCTGAAAAACAAACTGAGGGTTCTAGAGGGGAGGAGGGTGGGGGGATGGGTTAGCCTGGTGATGGGTATTAAAGAGGGCACGTTCTGCATGGAGCACTGGGTGTTATGCACAAACAATGAATCATGAAACACTACATCAAAAACTAATGATGTAATGCATGGTGATTAACATAACAATAAAAAAATTCCTTCCTGAAAAGGACAGCTTGTTTTTGTGCCTGCTTGACTGAGGCGGGTAGTAAGTGTGAGAGTAGGGAATATATCTAGCTCTCGCCTACCTCCAAGTGCTAGGATCTCCTTTATCAAAAGAACCAGGCATTTTGAGGTGCTAAACTGCCTTAGGTCAGTTTATAATATGATTTCAGTGGAATTCTAAACTGTTAATAATTAAACAAAAAAGTTATATATAAATTAAAATCACTAAGCAGCAAAGTATTTTCAGCTTCCCCCCCAATTTATTGTACCCAAATAGATAGGAGATGCACTGTTTTTAATTTGAGTAATTTTCAAGAGAACTAAAGTGGGTGCCTGGGTGGCTCAGTTGGTTAAGCGACTGCCTTCGGCTCAGGTCATGATCCTGGAGTCCCGGGATCGAGTCCCACGTCGGGCTCCCTGCTCGGCGGGGAGTCTGCTTCTCCCTCTGACCCTCTTCCCTCTCGTGCTCTCTATCTCTCATTCTCTCTCTCTCAAATAAATAAAATCTTTAAAAAAAAAGAACTAAAGTAAAAATAATTCAAGTTCATTCACTTCTTTTCTAATTTCAGTCCTGTGTTAAAGTAAAAGCAAGTGGCTCCTAGTGCTGGTAACTTTTAACCTTAGGGCAGATCCCACACAGACTTTCCAGTGAGCCAAGTCCTGTCCTCCCACAGGCCATTGCTCCAGGCAGGATACTGAATCCTTTGCTTCCTTGGAGTTTCATTCACTTCCCTCTTTGTTATCCCTGGGTAACCTTTGCTCCTATCTTTTTTTTTTTTTTAAAGATTTTATTTATTTATTTGACAGAGAGAGACACAGCGAGAGCAGGAACACAAGCAGGGGGAGTGGGAGAGGGAGAAGCAGGCTTCCCGCGGAGCAGGTTGCCCGATGCGGGGCTCGATCCCAGGACCCTGGGATCACGACGTGAGCGGAAGGAAGACGCTTAACGACCGAGCCACCCAGGCGCCCCTGCTCCCATCTTTCTTTCTAGCCCATCTTCAGCTGTGAGCCCAAGATTGTTGCTTTTTAATTGTTGCTACTAGGTCAGTTGGTGGTGCTTAATGCTTAGAGCACACACCCACCCTACTCACATGCACACAAACTAGCACAAGATCACTTACACTTCTCGAGTGGAGATTCGTGGAGTTTTAAGAACATGATAAGTTGTTTTATTGCTGAGACATTAGATAAAGTTGTTCTCATTATGCTGAGTGTATCGGAAATGGTATAGCAACCCCAGCATCTAGCACACAGCTCTCCGGTACATGATAAGCACTCAAGATTACTTGTTGGTGCCTAAAGAGGTAAAGAAGAGAAATGTTGGTTACTGGTCAAGATAAAAGATGAGATTATCAGTAAGATAAGGAGTAGTGGTCTTTCTGTTACTGGTGGGAGAGTCTGCGTTGTGTGAATGGGGAGGTCTCAGCTTGGATTCCCCATGAAAAGATACATAGGGATCCGTGCTCAGAATAAACACAGCCAGAAGGAAAGTAGCAAGTACAAAGCAGTTCATTAAGGTGAAAGGACACTCTCAAGGTGGAAGAGCGGACAAGTTCCAGGAGGTGGAACCAGGCCCTAGGTTGTTTTGGGATTGGATATTACTGGGTCTTTCTGGGACAAACAGTGTAGTGGGTGGTCTCTAGTGGAGGCTGCTTCCAATCTTTTGGGAGACTCCTCCCACAGGTTGGGAGGGGGAGTGTTTGACCCTGCGAGGTTTGTACCAGAACCATCAAGGTAGCTTTTCTCCATTGGCCATTGGGCAGGGCTATACCTGCAATTCAGATGCATTATAATGAGTTTAGGGGTTACCCTGGGGCAGAGGTGGAAGAGGGGAGTACTATGTTCTGTACCCATGGCTCTTGATCTGTCAGCCCCAAGGTCTTAGAAGCCACAAGGTCAGGATGTTGTGTCCCCCCCTTTTAATGTGTCACCTATTTATCACTGTCCTTGCCTCCAGCTCCTGTCTCTATCATTCTCCCCTCAAGGACTTGGGACTCTGCCTCCCAGCATTCCTCCCACTGCTCAGTCTAGCTTCTACCTAACTTTTGCATGGCCCTACCCCCTTCCCTCCCAAACCCACTTTGTCTTCCACCACACTTGAGGCCTGTGGGCTTTACTCACAGCTGTGAGACGACCTCTGTGTTTCTATTATCGTCAAATAAGGACATTTGTTTTCAAATGACCACTAAAGTGCTGGGATTATAGTTCTTTAAATTGGCAAAAACCCACAAAAACTTAATTAAGAGGCAGGGGGAGTCTGTTCTCCTCACTTTAAAGCTGGTACAGAATTACTGAATTTTACATTAAATATTAGCAGCTAAATGAGTCTGCCACACCGATCAGCTTTTAGGCCACAATGCCAAACTGCTGCCTATTCCCCTGGGTCATGCCTTATGGAAATTGCGTCTCCTGACTGTTCCCAGCAGTCCCTGGTATTGGATATTGTTGTGGGGATGAAGACCTGCCTTTGAAATACTGCCGCTTAGTCATGTTACTTACTGTACAAAATACCCTAATTTCGATGTCAATGTAAGTTCTAGTCAGCATCTGTCCACGTTTGCATTATTTTCTCTATTCAGTGACATTACAAATGGGGAATTACAGATAATTACCATGTGTTAGTGCTCTGCTTTTTTCTTCCCCTTCATTTAAAATGGCTTATTAAGATCAATTAAGAGGGAATGTCTGACAATGGAGGGCTGTTTTTCGCAGGCAGGAACTATTTATCCTGGTTAGATGCTTTAATGGCTTTGGGGATAGCTAATCTTTTTCTAGAGAATCAGAATTGACAAAAGCAAGCAAACCAAGCCAGGACAGCCTGTGTAGGAGATGACACTCCTGTCTATCTGCCAGGACACAACTTCTGCCAGATTATTTATTTATTTATTTAACTACCTGGGTTTTACCTAGTAGGGAATTGGGCAAAGTGAAGTCAAAGGGAAGCAGAATTTGATATTCTATCACAATTTTCCTGTGCCAGTTTCTGGGAATCATTTTAGTGTTTTGGTGGGGACGTTGGAAGAACTGAAAATGAAAACAGAGTCATATTGTGATGTTTAATCTCTGACCACAGAGTGTCCATGGCTTTTTTTGTTTGCTCGTTGAAAAAGATATGAGAAATACAGAAGCAGCCCAATTCTCCACAAAAAAATCCTCATAGTTTTCCCCATCCTACTCTTTGAGGAAGACCTTTCTGCTCCATTCATACGCATTTATAAACGATCATGCTCTTCGAAGGGCTGGACCAAAGCCAAGAGAGGAAGGAAAGCTTTCTTCAAATAGTAATTTTTGCAGGATGAGAGTGTAAGAAATAGGGTGGCAACCAAGCAGTTGGGATTCTTTAAACCTAAAACTAAAAGACGTTAGGGTAACTGAAAATTAGTTGTACCTCAATTATAATTTTTTGGTTTTGCTAGTTATGTGAAACCTACATTGT